TGACAGTTAACCACCATTCTGCTGATTCTCAGGTATTCCCTCTTTCCCGCCCCTTTTTTGGTTTGTTTTATTTTGTTTGATTTTACAGAATGATGTTTTGAGAAAATACTTTCGGTGTTCGTATCAACACGTAGAATATGCTGGAGATACTTAGCTTAACACCGTCATCAGGGAAGTCAGTTCCCTCAGCTGTGACAAGTAAGCTCATCTCCATTCACAGCATAAACACAGGTGCAGATTAATACTTTTATATATTCAAAATGCTTTACCGAGCACTATAGAAGGTGATATACAAGAAAAAACTGGGTTTGTTTTATTTAAATTTAAAATGCAGTGTTTACAAGACAGATTTCCAAAATCCACTTATTTTGTATATCGTAACTGCAAGCAATAAGACTGACTTCATGCTGAGTTTTTCAGGCTTGCACGGTTGGCTTGCATATCACAAGCGCAATGTTTTTACACTAGAATTGAAATGTCAACGATCTGTTCCTGGGTAGTTATGATTTTTTTCCCTGTTATTATGATTAAAAACACTGCACAACATGGTGTTCTTTCATTCGGAAGTGATCCATGGAGAGCACCTGAATACAATAATTCTAAATTATTCCAGCACCGGAAAAGAGAGCACTCAAACAAACAGAGGGGAGGAAAGCAGTTTGAACAGGTGGGACTGAAAAGCAGTGACATGTTGTAGTACACTACCGAAGGGGTGAAAGATATAGTGCAGTGTTGTATGATGTGTAGGAGAACTAGGGACCACTGGGTTAGAAGGCCACTACGATGCTAGATTAAGTGAGACATACAACTCTGAAGCACTGTGATTCTGAAAACTGATGCAGAGACAGAACAACTGGCAGGGGATGAGAGACACACTAAATGTTCTGCACATTTCTGCAGCAGTTCACTATTTTATAGTCTGTGGTAACATGCTCATCCCTTAAGACAGAACTACCAGAATTTCCCTGGTATTTATCTTGACCAGCAACTCTCTTGATAATATTTTTCACGATTATTTTTTTACATATTCTGTTGCCACCAAACTAGTGCCCAACAGAAAACATTCTGAAATATTTCTCTAGACATTTTCTACAAACAAATTATGCACTTTTTTAGGATGATTTTCTAGAGCATTACACATTTTCCCCCCATGTAATTTCCAACCTCAAAGATATTTTAGCCATATTTTCCACAACAGTTAGAACTCCATAACATTTTTAATACCAATTCTACAAGATTGTGAAGCATTTTAAGCTCTGCTTCTTCTATTGTACCAAAAAAGCACAATCAATTTAACAAAACTTTCATAAAGAACATTTGATTATTTCTACTTTCATCAGAAAATCCAGTTACAGTTTATCCCTTGTGATGGACAACTAATTTGTAAGTACGTATCTTTCTTCAGCTTTGTCTACATTTACCGGGAGATCAGCACTGCAGAGGTCGATCACCCAGGAGTCGATTTAGGAGGTCTGGCAAAGACCCACTAAATGGACCGCTGAACTCAATCTTGACGGCTCTGATACTCCATAGATCGAAAAGCATGAGGGGAGTCAATGGGAGAGTTTTTCCTGTCACCTCCAGCCCCCCACCCCCTCATCCCCACAGTGGAGACACCACTGTAAAATGAACTAAGGTACATCCACTCCAGATATACTATTCACGTAGCTGGAGTTGCGCACCCTAGTTTGACATTGCCCCCTAGTGTAGAGCTGGCCTTCAATTAGTTTGGTGTTTCTCAAACTTTTGTACTGGTGACCCCTTTCACACAGCAAGCTTCTGAGTGCTAACCACTCCCCCTTAAAAAATAAAAAAAAAACATTTTTTAAAATATTTAACATTACTATAAATTCTGGGGTGAATTGGGATTTGGGGAGGAGGCTGACACTTCATCATGACCCCCGATAGATCACGACCCCCAGTTTGAGGACCCCTGAACTAGATCTATAGAGAATGGAAATTGCTGTGTTCACAATTCATGCAATATTTGTGTTTTTCTTAAAGCCCGAGCTGATGGGAGTCAGGTGATTAGTTGAGAATCTTTGTTTTCATTATTAAAAAAGTGTTTCTAGCCCTCACATAGTTACAGAGAAAAGTTTGTAAATGTGACCCCTAAAGTTTCAAATTAAGAAGGTAAATAAACTCAAAAAATGTATTACTTTAAAAAAATGGCATGAGTTTTAAACCAGTCTTGTGATTTGGTTGAGGTTTGACTCATGATTGTTGAATATATGGAGTTGGCAGTACTGAAAAAGTCAGGCTAGTGTCTCTCTCCCCTTCAGCTTAATTTGTTTAAAGAGTGTATCAACACTATCTATACACCATGCCCACCTAAATCAAGGGTCTCCAGCCTTTTTAAGCACAAGATCACTTTCTGAATGTAAGTGTAATCCAGGATTTCTCTCAAACCCTAACACTTTTCCCCCACCTCCTTCCTCGCCCCTTCTCCAAGGTCCTGCCCTGATTCCTCCATCCCTCCTTTCACGCCCATCCTCACTCACTTTTACCAGGCTGCCACAGGTGGTTGAGATGCAGGAGGTTGCAGGCTCTGGTCCTGGGTGAGGGGTTTAGAGTATAGAAGAAGCTCTAGGCTGAGTGTGGGGCAGGCGCTGGGATAAAGGAGAGGGTTGGGATTGGAGGGGGCAGGACTTCCTGAGATCTCTCCCAACTCTATGATTCAGGGTGCAGGCTTTGTGAGGGAGCTAGGGTGCAGGAGGGACTCAGGGCAGAGGCTGAGGATAGGGATGTTAAATTTCGATTAACTAATTGCATAGTTGATGGCATTCCCATTGACTATTCAATTAGTCGATAAGGACTTCCATGTTCTGCCTTTGAAATGTAAAAGGGCCACACTGGAGTTCTTGTGCATTTCAAAGTGGAAACACCCACATGGAGCCTGGGCCAGCGTGGAACTCCCCGCTAGTCCTCGGCTCCACGCGGCATGCCAGCTTTGAAATATACAAGAGTCCCCAGCGGAGGCTCTTGAGCATTTCAAAGCAGGAACCTGGGTCAGTGGGGGACTCCCTGCTGGCCTCAGGCTCCACGCAGCGTTCCAACTTTGAAATGTACCAAAGTCCCAGCGGGGACTATTGTACATTTCAAAATTGGCCAACAGAGCTGGAGGAAACCAGCCTTTAAATTGGCTCTGTCCAGCACCCTGTCCTCTCCCTCCGCCCCACCCGTGCTGCCCCTTTGTGACAGAGGCAGCAAGGAGGGGAAGCGACTAGCGTGTTGACTGTCCAATAAGCTTTTGCTTATCAGATGATCGACTAGTCGATTAGTCACTTACATCCCTAGTTTGGGATGTGGGCTCTGGCTGGACACTGTTTACCTCAGGTGGCTCCTCAGTGGTGGCACAGGGGGCTAAGGGAGGCTCACCCCTGCCCTGGCCCTGCCCCATCCTGAAAGTGGCTGGCATGTCCAGTAACGGTTCCTGGGGGAAGGACAGGTGTAGCCCCAACAAATCCCATTGGCTGTGGTTCCCTGTTTCTGACCAATGAGAACTGCAGGGAGTGGTACCTACAGGCAAGGGCAGCCTGTGGAGCCTCCATGCCCTGCCTCCCCCAGGTGCCACAGGGATGTGCCAGACGCTTCTAGAAGTGACACGGGGACAGGACACGGGGGAGTCTGCTTTAGCTCTGCTGTGCTGCCAGCCTATTAGTGCACATGTCCCGATTTGGCTGCAGGACCCTCCATGAGACTGAGCCTGATTTCAGATTCCCAGCCAGCATTCTATATGGATGCAAACAATTAGCAGGAGTATACAGTATCTAGGTTTTTGTTTTCAACTGGTGATGCACATCAGCAAATTACCTCGATATTGGTTCACATAACAAAATTCATTCCCTCTAATGACCATGTATGAACCAAGCTTTTCCAAGGCTATCTTTGCCAGATATGGCCAGATTTTCACAGAGGGGGCAAAAGGCACATGCTAGACACCAGGGTGACATTTCTCTTTCAGGGATGTTAGATATAAGCTAATTAACTAATTGACTAGTCGATAAGCGGGGGAGCCGTAGCGGGGTTAGCTCCCGGCCCTGGGAGCTAACCCTGCTGCAACTCTGCCTTTTAAATTTATTAAGAGGCCACAGGCTCTTAATACATTTAAAAGGCTGGTGATCCGCAGGGGGACCCTGTGCCTGGCTCCCAGGCTTTAGCCTTTTAAATGTGTTAAGAGCCCGCATGCTGCGCTTCTGATTTAAAATGCATTAGGAGCTGGCAGGCTCTTAGTACATTTAAAAAGCAGAGTCGCAGCGTCTAGGACGGGCTCAGCAGATTCCTGGCTTGTACCTGGTCCTCTCTACAGCACCAGCTCCCCCCTCTTAAAACAAGAATGAGAAAGAAACTACTCAGTCCCCATGCAGGAACTATTCAGAGGTTCCTATTCAGAGCTGTATTTATTTTGTACAAGTTATGAACACTGTAAGAGAGAAAAGTACTTTGTTTAACAGTATGGTATTAGCATGTATTCTTGGGTGCTATGTAAGCACTTTCATTTGAAGATCTCAAAACAGTTTTTTGTTGGACAGATGAGGAAACTGACAAACAGAGGTTCCATAGGTTACCCAACCTGGAGTCCATTGGAGAAAACAACAAAATTCCCAGGACTGGGATTGGGGCCTACATAATCAGATACAGAGCACACAGTAAAACAATGGCAGAATTAAGATATAACCCCAAAAGTCCCAATTCCCATACTCTAACCACTATTCAATGTCACCCACGCATCATTCAGTGGTGCACCTTTTATGCTAGAAAAACTAGCAATACTGCCCTGGCATTTGGAGATCTTGTCAGCTCATTTTTGAATATGCCAACTATTTTAGGGATCTATATTTTTGATGATCAATGCATAAGCGGATACACAGTTCTGTAGTGCAACTTCTAGGTGTTTACAATTTATGTGGAATACACAGCTCCCCTCAGATCACCATATTCGCTTTACGTCAATGTAAATACTTCTGGAGAGAAGACAAGCGAAAGGATGATGGGCTGACCTGATTGATGGAGTTGGCTGCACAGGAAGCAAGTCCAGTTCCAATGGAGGTAAGCAGGAAACAAGTAAGATCAAAAGGGACCGGAGCCATAGCAAACCCAGCAGATGCGGTACTCACAACCAGTGCTGCAACACAAAAACATACAATATGTTTTACCACCATGGCTCCAACACTAAGTCATTTCTACTGTACGTAAATAACCATTACAGATCACTTGTTTAGAATGCCGAAAGAACTCCACACTCCTACTTCTGACATTCATTTTTTGTATCGCTGTAGCTTTACAGGCTCCAAGCCTGGTGGACCAATGGAAGTCAAAGCAATTCAAATAGTGGATTTTAAATATGATCTAAATTAGTATGCAGGAAGATTTGATTTAAAATAAATTAATTGTAATCATGTTTTGCATTTGTATTTTTTATTTGCATAAAGGCTGACTCTCATTGGTTGGCAATCAACTCAACATATTGATTTGTAACTAACTATAGCCTTTGCACTAAATTATCTTTGTTAACCAGTTGGCTGTGTCATATTTAACACATTTATTTAACCAATTATATTGCCGAATTTCCATTTATGTATTCAGATTCTTATTTTTTAAAATGTTAGAAAATTATGAATGATACAATGGATGCCCAGGCTTCCTATACAATATTATTTATTAGGTTTTTCTTTTTACTTTTGATTTGTATCAAATTGTGTTTGGCTGGAAATTCAAATTCATATAAAATGAAGATGAACAGCTTTTATTAGTTACTAGATTTACCTGGCTTTGTTCAGGTCCTTAACTGAAATAAGTTTTATTTTTCTTCATTTAAATCATTCTTTGGGGGTGGGGATGAGGATGAGGGATTCAGTATGCAGACTGCCTAGGGACAGAGGACAACCCCAGCTGTCTCTCACCACAGCAGCTTGGGGCCAGGTGAAAAGTACCTCTTCGTGGACGCTGCAGCGGGCACAGCTTGGGGAGGATCAGAAAGACACAGACACACAAACAGGCAAACTCCCTGAAATACATAGTAGATATCTGTCCCTTTCTCCATCTCTGCTCCTTTCTGGTCCAATGGGGCTATAGCTGTCCTGGTCCCTATCTCTCGCCCTTTGCTGCCCCCATTGTGTTCATTCTGCAGTATAACTCCCTCCTGCCAGACCCCCCCTCTTTCCATTTTATGAGAATCAATCAATCAGTTTCCAGGGACATTATCCTAGCACAACCAAACACTGACCTAGATTTAAGTTCTGATAGATAAGAAGAAGCTGCATAACAAATTTGGTGGTCCTAGCTTTTACCATGTAGAAGGAGCTCATAAACAAACGGACTCACGAGACAGATTCACATTTCTAAAATATATAGTAAGATTACAAATATTTGCACTCTAAAAATCAAACACAAGAAACAGTCATTTTAATTTACTTCGTACAAGTACTGTAGTGCAGTCTCTTTATCGTGAACGTGCAACTACACACAAAAACCAAAACAATGTAAAACTGTAGAGCCTACAAATCCATTCAACCTTACTTCTTGTTCAGCCAATCGCTAAGACATTACGGGAGATCATGCTGCCTCCTTCTTATTTACAATGTCACCTGAAAGCGAGGACAGGCATTTGCATTGCACTTTTGTAGCCGGCACTGCAAGACATTTATATGCCAGATATACTAAACATTAGTATGCCCCTTGATAGGCTACCATTCCAGAGGACATACTTCCATGCTAATGACACCGATTAAAAATAACCTGTTAATTAAATTTGTAACTGAACTTCTTGGGGGAGAATTGTTTGTCTCCTGCTCTATGTTTCAGTCTCTGGGCTCATCTAGACTACGCAGAAGATCACTTCCGATCTCACTTTCAAAAGCAGAGTTTTTGAAAGTGAAATTAGTCAAGATGCAGGTTTTTTCGGCAACCCCTCCTTTTTCGAAAAGCCACGTAAACCTCTTTTTGAGGAAAAGCGGCTTTTCGAAAAAGGGGGGTTGCCAAAAAAAACACAGTGCTTTCAAAAGTGAGATCAGAAGCAGATATGCAAAGTCCCAGAGAATTTGCATATCATCTTTCAAATCTTCTGCGTAGTGTAGATGGGCCCTCAGATCTACAACCCAGCACGTATTGTTCATTTTTAATAACACTTTCACTATAGACTTGACAGAACACAAAGAAGGTATGAATGTGAGAGTCCCAAACACAGCTAGAGCACTTCACCAAAGGTTTAAGAATGTGAAGTGCCTTCTGGAATCTGAGAGGGATGAGGTGGAGAAAGCAAATCTCCAATGCAGAAACTACGTAATCCTGGCCACCAAAAAAAGAAAATCAATCATCTCCTGGTGGCATCTGACTCAGATGATGAAAATGAACATGCATCGGTCTGCACAGCTTTGGATTGTTATCAGGCAGATCCCATGCCCTCTGGAACAGTGATTGAAGCATGAAGGGACTCCAGTGATTCTGGCAAGTAAAGATCTCGCAATGCCGGCTACAATGGTGCCATTCAAATGCCTGTTCTCACATTCAGGTAACATTGTAAAGCAGAAGTGGGCAACATAATTTCCTACTATTATTCACTCTTATTCCCAGCGGCACTGGGAATAGAGCTCATATCTAGTGTTCTCTGTACAGCCACTCAGGAGAAATTCAGGTTTTGCTCAGTTGATGGACAAAACACCACAGTCGGAAGCATGTGTTTCTATTAGTGGTGCACACCTGCAAATGCCTAGGTGCACATAAAATGTGTTCCACACATGGATGGAAAAAATTAGAGGGAACATTGCTCATGTCTCCTGACTCCAGTGCCCCAATCACTAGACAAACTGCCTTCCAAATATAGATGGATTCCAGTAGCTCATGTATCACTGAATGAAAACTGGCTGGAAACCTCATTAACTATGAAAAGCAGAGCTCTGTTCTGATGCTATCAGAAAAAAATACTTTGAAGCAGCAGCCCTGAACATTTCAAGAAAGCATAAGAAAATCCAGTGCACCAAGACTGGTGAAGATAGTCCTCTTTGCTGTATATTTGACACATCTTGATAACTTAACCAATTCTGCCCAATTTGGGGCAGGGGAAGGTACAATACAGCCAGAAGGTTTGCAATTTGAGTGACTTTATGTGGAAAATAGATAACAGATCAGGAATCTGAATTCAAAAGCATTCTTTATTCTACAGCTAAGGAACTTGTACCCAACTATTAAAACCATTCAAAAAATGGATTACACAAACCTAGATTTAAGAGAAAAGTAGTACTAAAGAGAAGTCGCTCTCTTCTTGCAACAAACCAGCCAACACAATAACTAAATAGCTTGCTTATGGCTTGGAACCTTACAAACTGAACTCAATAAATGTATCAGCAAGGAAGAAAAAATTATCATCAATTGTAGTTCTTGTAAGAAAAATCATCTCAGCAGTTTTCTGACTACACAAATAATATGCTTTGTAGGGAAGTCAAACGGTGCCCTAAAAACCTACACTGATCCCAAATATCTGGATTTTATAGAAGCAATGTTGCTCACTATGACAAGGAAATGCGATGCCAGGGAAGAGGCTTACAAGCAAAGGGTTCAGGCATCTCAGGAGAGAGCCAAAAGAACATGACCTTCTCCTGCCAGGCTGCTCCTAAAAGAGCTAAAGTGACTACTGGAAGCAAAAACAAGTGAATGCCAATGGGCAGTCATGAGCTATTACTCCAGAATGCAACATTTGTAAGACCATTGCCAGAATACTGTATTCAAATTTGGTATCCCCATTTTTAAAAGAATGTTGAAAAATTAGAGAGGGTTCCCAGAGAAGGCTTTCTGGAAGATTTAAGATCTACAGAATCTGCTGTAGAGTCAGACGCTTAATTTCAATGCATTGTCTACACTGGCAAGCTGTCACCAAAACACCCTTTTTGGCAACAAAACCCAGAGAGAAGTCACATTGCAATGCAATAAAAGCTGTGATGAATGCCCAGTTTCGGTGACAAAAAACTTCCACTTCCACAGGGGACTTTTCTCTCTACCCCTCTGTAGCCTGCCAAGCTATATCTTGTCCTATCCAACCCTTTTTCCATATATTTAATGATGCCAGTATTGCAAGGCCTGCAGGACTTGACTCATCCTGTATGAGTTGGCTTTCGCAGTAGGGTCGTGTGATAAGCAAGGGTTAACATCTTTTAGGAATTAAACTCAATATCCTTAATATCTCTTTAGAAATTGTGAATGATTTAGTGGCAAAATCTTCAGCTGAGTCAGTACTGAGCTGTGGTTTCCAAACTTTTGAGTTTCCTTATAGATACTTTAAAAGTTGCTAGCTCCCCACAACCTTTAAAAAACAACAACAAAAACCAACCCACCAACTCAGGAGTCAGAATACTGAATTAAGAGTTTGGGATGTGAGAATTTAGACTGTTTTGTGACTTCTTCTAACTACGTACAGTTTATTTAATTATACAATCTGATGTAATCCAGGCTTTCAAAACTATCATTGGAAAAGCCAGATTTTGACATGTTTGGACAAACCCATAGATTTTAGTGAAATGAACGGCCCTGTTAAAAGTTTTCCAACTGTCGAGCCTACTTTGACAAAACTCACATAACACAGAATCTGAACTATGCTGGCTATGTCTCTGGATTAATCAAGATGCACGGCAAAATACTTCTCTTAATTTATTGAATGTTTTCTGCAAGGTCACAAGTGAGCTGACAGCTGGTATTAATTGATAGAAGAATGGTTTTCAGTGCCATGTTATCTTGTTTCCCATCACACTTAGAGTGCGTCTACACAGCAGGGCTTAACTCAAAATATGATATGCAAATTAAGCTACACAATTGACGTAGTGCATTTCGAAAAAGTTTATTTCGAGTTTTGGTGCTGTCTACACAGCACTTATTTCAAAATAGAGCACTCTTCCTCCAACTTTCCTTACTCCTCGTACAACGAGGGTTACAGGAGTCGGAGTAAGACGTCCTCCAGCTTGACAGTATTTCGACATGTCAAAATAACTGCCAGATGTGTAGATTATTTCAAAATAAGGCTGCAGTGTAGACATAGCCTTATAGACATCTATTTCTGCTGGAAGCAGAAGTTTTGCCAATGTGTGCTTGCTTGCATTTTGCAATTCACACTGCGCTCTTGTATAGAATGCTTCTTTA